TATCCCACTCCTGCTGTGCCCCATATCCCACTCCTGCTGTGCCCCATGTCCCACTCCTGCTGTGCCCCACGTCACGCTCCTGCTGTGCCCACGGCTCCCGCGGCCACTGCGCCCGCTCTGCTGCTCTCTGTTCTTCTCATCCCTGCCCTTTCTGCAAGGTAAGGGGAAAACTCAGGTTGCTTTTGTTCTTTGCTCCGAGGCAGGAACATCCAGCTTGGGCCCACAAGGCTGAGGATAAGTTAGTGCTCCTGCTTCACTCGGGCACAGCCTGTGTCACCCTCCACGTGGAACACACATCAGTCAGTTCTGCTGCTGCAGAACCTGCTGAGGGTTTGCATCTAAATATGAGAAAAGGTGTTTTCCTCGTTTCCTTTCAAGTCACCTCTAACACTGTGATTTAGAAAATAATTTGGCTTTTAAATATTTCGAGAAACTAACTCTTTCACCCCTTTTCCATCAAAGTGAAGCTTATGGTCTAGGAATCTTCAGTAAAGCAATGGAGTGACTTATGAGACAGAAGTGAAGGGACCTTCAGGCAGCCCTGATGTGCCATGCCAGCTGCCTTCCCAAAGGATCTGGCCTCATCCTCAGGGCTGCTGGAAGCAGTAGGCACTTCTTCAAGCACTTCTTCCAACTCAGAAAGTTCTTCTTGCTAGAGGATGGGTTTGTGCTGACCCGACGCACGTATCTCCTAAGGTCTGTCAACAAGCTAGAAACGAGGTAAAAGCACCCCTTTCTCCACATGCCGTGGTGGCAAGTGTTGCAGCTTGAGAGGGCTTTCCAGCAAGTTTACCATTGCTTGCTACAAGTGTGTTTGCTACAATGTGTAATCAAATTGCAAAGTTATCTTTGATGCTGAGATTGTGTTAAAAGTTTTAAATAATACTGAACAGCGATAAATAAGGCAGAAAAGAAATCTTTATGCTGAGTTAGCAGGAAGACAGAGAAAAAACTCTGTAGTCCATAAACTAGTCAAATCAAGTTGAAAATAACACAAATTAAAACATACATTATACCTCCTGTATTCAATATGGGAGGTGTTTTACAGTGACAGATAATTCAGCTTTGGAAGGGAAAGGCAATGTCACAGAGCAGAGCTGCAGCCTGAGGCTGAAGAGTCAGCACTAACTTGTGCAAATTCAGTCCCAGCAGCTCTTTCACCAGATAGTCCACTTTTTGAGACCAATTTTTTATCATAAATAGGTGTAAATCTGGACAATAATGCTGTTGGTGAGCGCAGAGCCTGAGGTGAGGGATGCAGAGGAGTCTGTGGGAGGCAGCTGGCCCAGCAAGGCTTGTTGTGGAACAGTGTGACTTGGAAAGTGCTCAGAGACAGCTTGAGTAGAGAGCACACTGTGGTGACATGGTATTTCTGCACTAATCCCATACGTTTTACTTAGCTCAGTGATAATGCAGGAATCAGGAGAACTGATTCCACACCAGTATGGAAAAGATGTGGGCATATGCAAACCCCTATTTCAGAGGTAAACATGCACACACATACATGTGTGTGCATTCTCTACACAGAGGGATGTGTGCTCCAGAGGTGATATACAGGCTGATAAACCAAGAGCTTTCAGCAAACTATTCCTGAGCCTTGAAAGTATTTTGTCAATAGTAAAGCATGTACATCCTTTGATATTAAAAGTTCAAGCACCCAGCAAATGATGATCTGCAGTTTCCAAAAGCCCCTATATGGTCTGTGGCTGAAGTTTTGCATGAGAATGTTATAAGAAATCTACCATATATTGATGTTTGCCTTAGCCCACAGGAGCTAAAGATGAGATCTTTCCTGTGTGCAAGGAAATCTACTTGAATTAAAATAACATACAGCTTTGTAACTAAATCATAGATGTTTTAAAAGTATCTTCCATAAACCCTTCAATATATGAATTCCTGCAACATTCACGTTGTTAAGAGTGTATTTGTTCAGCACAGTGATGCTCCAGAAACTGTTTGGAGAAGCTGAGCATTCCAGCCTGCCTGATCAGGCTGACACAAACATACTCGCAGTATCCATGCTGACTTTTCAAGCATAATGTTCCGTGGATGCTTGGGGAAAGGGCATCTTGAGACCAAACTGAAGTCTTTATAAATAATGCCACTAAGCCCCATCTACTTAGGTGCTGTGGATAAATTTAATAAATCAAACAGCCATTGAGACTGCAATGAACGCTGATACCTCAGCCTCTGCAAAAAGTTGTCCGGTTTTTGCTCGTGCCTAGGCCAGCTGGCACACGGCTCGAAGAGGCAGGTACTGCAACCGTGAGAAATAGAGAAAAACCTCACCTTTCTTTTATGGCCGAGGGACCCCTGTTGTAGCCAGGCAAAGTCCTGGACAATCCAGTGAAATATTATAAAAAGCCGTAATGCACGTCTGAAAAGCTGGTAAATCCCGCTCCCTCTGCCCTTCCCCACTAATCCTTCTCCCTCCTCCCGGTTCCAGCGCGCAGACCGTAATCCCGCGCACCGCTCCGTGCGGGTCTGCGGCTCTCGGGTCCCCCCGGCCGCCCTCCCCCGGCCCCGCTCACCGCTGTCCCCGCGGTCCCTGCGGCTCGCCGGGGTCCCCGTGTCTCACCGGGCCGGGGCTCCGGGGTCCTGCGCCCTGCGGGAGCCGGCGGGAGGGAACCGCTCCATGGCCTCCTGCGCCAACAGGCTGGATGGAAGCAGCCTCCGCGCTGCGCTGCCAAAATCCTCAAGCGCAGCCGGTGCACTCGCGTTTCATAACGCTCCCCTGCTCGGGGAAACAGCCTCTCTCTACGGCTGCTCCACGGCAGAGCTCTGCAGCCTTCTGCAGCTGCAGACGTTTCCAGACCTAGCCATTCCCTCTGCCTGGGTGTTTGTCCAAGCGCACGGATGGCTGCATCGGCAGAGGGCTGAGTGGCGGCAGCAGCGTGAAGCCCTAATGCGATCAGCTGAACGGATGCTCAGTGTTTGTTTCTCGGTGCCTCTTCCCACTAGGGGCAGATCCTTCTGAAGCCGCTCCTCTGGAGACCCGAACCCCTTCCCAACAGGTCGAGAGGGTCCCGGGAAAGCGAGTCCCTGACAGCCTCCCGGCAGCAGCTTGGAGATTTCAGGCAGAAAATTGTTATTCTGGGCACAGTTGGCTGGAAGTAAAATATTTATAAATGTGAGAGCTGAAAGGCAGTTGCTGGTGTCCTCAGGACTGCCTGTGCTGCTGCCTTCCCTGCACGTTTCAGCTCTGTTCTGCTGCTGCTTCACATGAAGATTGAGCAATTTATTCTTGAAGCATCTGCATTTAAGTGGGGGCAGGCTACACCCCTGTAACTGCATGGGGTTTTAAAGCACCCCACAGTCTTAGCATATTTAATGAAACCTGTGGAGATTTGTCTCTTGGAGGCAAAGTCTAATGCAGTAATGGGACCCTTGGTTCCTCCCCGTGCCAGGGAGTGTGAGTCAGATACATCAGCCCCAACACCTGCCTGGCTGTGAGAAAGCAACACTCAGGGGCTTTTTTTGGATCTAAGAGGAAAGAGGGAATTGGGATGCCACGTGGGGCTGATCCTGTTTCCTCTCTGTATGCTTCACAGTGCTTCAGACTCTGAAGCCTCGTGGGCTTTGGTGATCAGGTGTGTGGATCTCTCCATGCAGTGCACCCTGTGAGTGGGGGCTGAATCCCACAGTGCAATATTGACACTTGAATCACACTTGGTTTTCCCATCTCCACAGGATTTAAAAGAGGGATCTGGTTGTTCAGCTCAACGTGAACAGTTAAAGTGCTTTTGCTCCTAACAAATGTACTCTCTGACCTGTACTGATAGGGCTGCAATCCTACGGTGATTTGGTGAATTTTGATTAATGGAGAATTCTGAGACTTAGCAGTGTAACATTCAAATTTAAAAATATGGATAGGTGGAAGTGTATTGTCACCCCAAGAAGTTGTGCATCTGTTAGATTGCAACCTTTATGTGTGTGTGTACACCTTTAAGGCTGTAACAGTGTGAAGTTAATTTAGTTTTACTGAAATTAAATTAATCAACTGTTAAGTGTAACAAAATTTTTAAACATTGCACTGGGTTGGGGCTTAAATCAATAGAATTGCAGAAGTATACCCAGGTGGAGCAGTGGCAGGAAATGCCTGTTCAGAATTCTCAGCAAGAAAAACTATGCTGAAAATGTACCAGACTCTGGCTGTACCCCACAGTGTGTGCATGGGGATGAAATGTGTGCAGGCAGGTGCAGCCTCTTGGGACCTTTGCTGCAGGAGCAGCACGGGCTGGGGCTGCAGCCCCTGGCACCAGCCAGACCTGCTGGGTGTGGGGAGTGTCCCAGGGACACTCTGTCACTTTGACATATGAGCTGTTTGCACAGATTTGACATGAAAACAACCATTATCGTTTGGAGGTCTTGCAGCTGCTCTGCCTTGATTTCTGAACATAGATGAAGCCCAGACAAACTGCCAGGGTTGGTAAAACAACACCCCTGCTGCACTGAACCCTCTTTAATGCCAGCTTGTTTCCAGGACTTTGTGTACAAAATGCCACATGGGGAGTTATGAGACCCAGTTCATCCCTGGGCATGAGCCCTGCTGCCACAAGGTGACTGGGCTGAGGGGTTACAGTCTGCAAACAGCAGTGTCAGGCCACTGCTCCAGACTCAAACCAGACCCATTCTGGGGAGATCAGCAAGGTAAATAAAGGAAGAGTAGTGTTGTATCCAAGGAAGATGGCAACAGTCCCTCTCCTGAAATTATTACAGTGGAGCATTTTGGGGTGGGGGTGGGAGGTGCTCTGTGTCCCCTGCTGATGCTGCTCACATGGCAGGTCACCATCGAGGCAGCACCACTGGGGGCACAGCCAGCCTGGCTCCTCGGAGTGAGCACTGGCAGCTCTGTGTCCTGGCCACAATATCTCCACTCCCTAATTTCCTGTCTGGTTAGTAATACTGGTTTTCTTCCACTCTCTGGGGAATTTTTCTGTCCCTCATGAGGAGCAGAGGAACTCTTGGGAACACCTACTGTTGGGATGGAGAAGCTGGAAATGTGATGCACTGTATGGGAAAAGGCATGAGCGGTGTTGATGATGAAGAAGGATGTGTGAGACTATTTCAGATGTTTTCAGGCTCAGACCGACAGGAAATTATTCTTGTGATTTACTGGCACTGTTTTCTTGCCTGTGTTACCCCATTGTCTACAGAAAAGTTGTACCTTGACAGGACCTGTCTGTGTGTCCACTGCAGCTCCTACTAAATTAAGAGGGAAATGGATCAGACTGTAAATTCAAAGGATGATCTGAGCAGGATGCAGACATTGAAAAATGATATCTAATAACACCAAGAGAAAGGGGGCAAAACTTTGAAAATAAAGCCTCCATGTGTTATGGTCGTGTTGTGAAATAAGTCACTGATGGGAGGAGTGGCAGCTGGAGGCAGTCTGCAACTCAGGAAAATCCTGGGCTCTTTCTTTCTCTGCTTGATGGTTCTGCATGGTTGTTGAAAAAAATACAGCACAGAAATTGTGGAATGAGTGGCATTACTTTTAGAATCCTGTTGTGGGAGCATTTTTGTGCTAAATGACTCAAACTTTCAGTCACTGCAGAAAATAGGCTCAATTGTAACGGTGAGGATGAGTTCAGAAAAGTGACAGGTTTTGCCAGTGTGGTTTCAAGACAAAATCTCTTAAAGACTGTGAAGTTTCATAAAGGAATGTAATGTAGCAAATAGTTTTCCTGTCCTTTTCATCTAATAATCCTAAATATTCGGGGGTTAGGCATTCCATGTAATGCCTACCTACAATTTTCAGTTATTTCATGAAACAACTGAGGAAAACAGCTGTTTAGAGCAGGGGTTGACAACGTCACTCTCTTTTTGCAATGACTGTGTTTATAACATAAATGCCGTATCAGGTGCAACATAGACAAAATGGTTGGGTCTAATACGATTATTGTCAAAACTCCCCATGATCTCAGAGCACCCAATAAATATGTCAAGTGCCATGCACAGAGCATTTGCTGAAAATTGTGCAGATCAGGGAAGGCTCTTACATTCCTAAGATATGTCTCAGAGTTTGCTTTAGCTGTGGGAATACAGGCAGATGCCACAGAGGTGGTGCTCTGCCTGGCAGGACTGTGTGCTCTGCACGATGATGCTGCTCCATCTGTTTCAGGGGACGGTTGAGGGTCATTCAAAGTGGTGGGAAGAGGTGCTGGAAGGTGCAACCCAAATCAACCCATCTGGGTCTGGAGCCTCCAGCTTCAGTTTCCTCTTTCTTACTGTCATTGCTGCTAAGGGAGGGCAGAGCTTTGGAAGCAGCTGATTGCATTTTGCACTTTCGGGGTCTGAAAGGACAGAAGTGGCTCCCAATAATGAGGGCTTGAAGAAACAACCCCTTAAAAGATAAATGAACAAACAGATCACATAGATGAGGGTGTTGAACACAGTCCTGGTGAAGGTGAGATAACATTTGAAAATGTAAGAGATGTAATACAGAAAAGCCAAATTAATTTCCAAATTCAGAAGGGATTTGAAAGGTAAACTTTAAGCATAAGTAATCAAGGATTGCTGTAACTAGAGCTGTTTCTGCTGTTCAGTGTCCAGTTTATTAAAGAGAAGTGAAAAAGGAACAGGTAAATAGGATAAGTTTTGGTCAGGAGGTTACTGCTGGTTCCTTGTGCTGGATGTATTTAAGCTGTGTATCTCCTTCCTGTTTCCGTGATCATACCCTGGCACCAGCACAGAAATGATTTAATCCAGCTGAAAATGGAAAAGGTTTGTGGAAAGCAGCTTCTACGTGCACATTTTGGGAACAGGCGTGCTCTGACACAAGTGGGTGCAGAGGGAGTTCTGGCAAACTGGTGGGAGATGGGACTGTGAGCACTTGGACAGAGATTTTTCCCATTTCAAACATCATGAATTTACTCCAGGGGGACATTATGTTGTGTTACAGTTTTTGTCATGTTTCATTTGCACTATTGTAAGTTCCACTGATATTTAAATATTTTTTTAAGAAGTGCCAGCAAAACAGATGGCAGTTGCACATCCTGCTGCATGGGAAGGTGGTGGTGCTGGGGTTAACATCCCTGGGAAAAGGAATGCAATGGGTAGGACAAAACTCAGATGTCAACATGGCTTTTCTGTCCTGTTGGCAAGGACCAAAGCAGCTGGATGTTGTCCTTAGGCAGGATGGGATTTGAGGGAATCAGCTGCAGGCACTAAGCAGTCAATAGGCACGTGTGCGTGAGTTTTGGGGTAGAATGAATGGTTAGTTTTGTAGTAAAAATCAGCATTTTGCTGATCTCTGCTGGTCTCTGTGCTTACAACTTCATGCAAAAGCAGTTAAATTGAGGATGTCATTTGACCTGACCGTGAAGAGGTGCTGGTGATGTGAAGGAACAGTTTCTAAGTGGCTGCTGAAGGTAAGTTTGCTAAAAAAGATTGGGACTCGCAGAACACAGTAGTAGTTCTGGTTGGGAATGCATTGATCATATTGCAGTATGTGTGCAGAAATGGTTTTATGTGCTGTAATCCTCGAGGTGATTTGATTATGATCTGGGGACTAACATTCTAAGTCCCAAGGGACAGTCTGAGATACAGGAAGGCCGTTTGCAGTCGTGCTGTGGGAGCAGCTGCGCTTCCTGCAATTCAGCTGCTTCAGATGTTACCTGAACGTGTGTTCCTTCCTGGAGTTGTGTGCAACTGTGGGATCCCTTTGTGCTGAGCTTGGGGGAGATGGACAGCCCTTGGCCAAGTCAGCTTTGTCCTTCCTATTCGAGTGTTTTTCAGCCTCAGAAAACACATTTAGCCTAAAGTCCTGGTGTTTTTCCGAGTATGGCCTTTTGATGTTTGTGACTGGTATTATCTTCTAAATGCAGCTGTTTGTTTGGAAAGAAGAAAGGCCAATATACTGGCAGTTTGACCAGCACCTTGGGTCACTGCTTAGTCAGGTCTCTAGAGGGTCCTGCACCACACCAGGCTCTGGAGGTACTGCCTCCCCCCCATCCCATTCAGATCCAGAGCTGGATTTCAAGAGGAACTTTACTGTCACTTCTCAGCCAGACTGTGTGAAGGCACAGTGTGAATGATAACACCTTACCTTGCAGTAATCACAAAGCAACACCAGCTAATATCTCCAGTCAAATAAGTCTGAGTTTTTTTCTACTTGAAGGTTTTGTCTTTTGACAAGTGGTAGTAATGTCTTGTTCTTTATTTTTAGTGGACCACAGTAAACTGTAATGGATATTAAGTCACCTGAGCC